CATTCGTAGGGGTGAATTACGAAGACAACGCGCTCTGTTATAATTATTATGACATTTCTTATGATATTTTCATTTTGTTATAAGTTGATATATATATATATATATATGTGTGTGTGTGTGTGTGTGTGTGTGTGTGTGTGTGTGTGTGTGTGTGTATAAAAAGGGTGTATCAAAAAGACATTTACAAATTTGGGGGCGGGTTCCTCACACCAAAACAAGGAAAAAAGTCCATATAAATATATGCCTGCAAATCCTTTTGAGTTATTAAGTTCAAAGAAAGTTTACGGTAGATATTGCTATGTTACCATGTAGACGAGGTTACATTTGTCATTCGTGTACATTTGTCGCTAGTCTGTCTTCAACGTTTAACGTGTGTAGTAGCGAAATAACTAAAAAGTGTTCTGTTTAACAATGACAGGATATTCATATTGTGAGCAGGCAGACATTATTTTTACATAGAGCCACGCGAATGGTAATGCACGGCTCTATCAGATTGCGTTTTCAGACCGAAAGCAGTCGTGTCATCCAAACTATGCTGCTGTTTATCGTTGCGTTGCTCAGACAGGATCCGTGGTATCACAAACTATGGATCAAAGAAAACCGAGATCCTCTCGTACGCCTGACCACGAAGAAAATATTCTACAGGCCGTCGAGACGAGTTCCAGGTATGAGGACCCGTCAAGTGGCCCTAGGATGTGGTTCATCTCATTGTACCACATGGAGGGGGTCTTCAAGAGCAGCTCCTGTATTCGTATCATTTGCAACGTGTGCAGGGTCTTTTGCCATCTGATCACTCACCATGAGAGAACTTTTGCCGATTGCACAAACTGCTGATCCGTTGTTTGTCTCTTCAGTTTTGTTTACGGATGAGGCAACATTTCGAAGAGATGGAATAAAAAATTTACACAACCATCATCTGTGGGCGGATCGGAATCCCCATGTTACATTACTGGCTAGACACTAGCGACAGTTTACGATTAATGTGTGGGTTTGTCCTTTCTTTGGTGTGAGGAACCTGCCCCGAAATTTTTTAAAAGTATTTTTGATACACCCTGTATATAAGTACATACCGGGCACTGTGCAGACTAGGTCTGCATTCCATTACAGGTGGAGTTAATCCTGATTTCGCACTCCTCACTTTTGACCTTGTGTCAGTCTGAGCTAAATTTAATAAATACCCTTATTATTACGTGAAAATTACATCGTCCGTGGCTTAGTGTCAGGGAGAGAGAAGTAAATTTTAATAACATGACGACTTATGTCTAAATATGCTTTTATATAATTTTTAACACATTTCTTTAATTTCTCCAGTATTCATAATGTCTGAACAGGGTGATTATTTTTTTATTTTTTAAAACACTTTTAAAGCCAACTCCTCCGGGGCATGTCGTTCATTATTTGTATTTTGCACGCATGAGTCGATTTAAAATTTCTGCAAAGTTCTCAATTATTTGATCCCATGGGAAAGTACATTAAAGTCTGTGGTTTAGATTTTATAGAAAATTAATGCTTAAACCTTAATTTGAGTGTTACATTTATATTTTGAATAACATTAAATTCGGCAGTGTCTTCAAAGGAGGCACGGTGGAGTAATGGAAAGCGGTTTGGATTGAGGAATTGGAGAGCGGAGTTCGAATTCCAGCCGATTTCATTGCATTCACTTACGTTGGGAAAGGTATGAATCCTCTTCCCCAGTTATGGATAAAATAGCAGGACAGATTGGGTTCTATAGCCTTTCTACTTCAGAAAGAAATGCGGGGAAGAAACTGCTTCGTCAGTATGTATCGAAAGATAAAGGATCGCCCAAGCGTTTATCACGCATGGCACAAAACTGACTGACCTTCAAAGTAAACTTAACTTTGATTTGCTGGCATTATTTTACTAATATAAAAACCATAGGATGAATTATAATATGGTCATATGGGAGTTTTTAGATGAACGGAAAACAAAAAATAATGACCAATAGTAGCAAGGTTCTGAAAAAGTTTATGTAAATAGATGATGAAGAACTGGAAGAAATCCAGGAATACATATAGATAGAAAATGTTATAACATAAAAGAACGAAAAAGAAATTAAATAAAAAAGATGCATAAAAACAGTGTGGAAGCATTTAATATAGAGCCATAATGAAAACAGCTTTGCCAATATGCTTAAAAAGCAAAGTTTATGTCGAATGTATGACACCAGCTATGAGAGCCGGGTGCTAAGCATGGACTCATTCAACATTATTGTGTGATCTCTGATTTTAATTATTATAAATGAAACTTACCAGTCGCTTGGAGCAAAGACAGTGACAGCCCTCTATTATCAAATTCGAACCAAAATGAAAAAATAAAATGGAGGGATCCTTTAAAACAAACAGAAACTAAACAAAAGTAATATTCAGTTATAAAGGATCATAAAAAATAGATGAAAAACTGGAAGAAGTCCAGGAATACATATATTTAGAACAAGTGATGTAAACTACAAGTAGACAGAATGCATGATCATCGTTAAAAGGATGAGCCCGAAATGCGATTTGCAGGTCGGGAACACCAGAATCAAACAGACGCAGAAGTTTAAATATCTAGGAAGAGTTTTGACAGAGGATAGTAAATGCGACGCTGAGATCCATAGACGTATTGAGATGGCCAAGGACGCATTCCAATAGGTGGGCAGAGTATTGCGAGACAGAAGAATTTCTTTGGTAACAAAGAAAAGAGTACTGAGCTGTTACGTGACATCTGTCCTTCTTTTCTTGGAGGGTCTCCTCAAAGATGAAGAAGAGACTCGAGGCAACGGATATATGATTCTACAGAAGGTTGCTAAGGATATCATGAACCGGGCATGTGAGCAACGATGAGATTTTGAAGAGGATGCAAGCAAGGAGGAATCATATGCTTAACATCAGGAAGTGGCAGATGAAATTTCTGGGACACAATGAAAAAGGGAGGCCTGCAGAATCTGATACTCACGGGGTGAATAGAGGGAACTAGAGTTAAGGGAAAGCAACGTATGACATACCTGTGGGAAAGTGAATGACAGAACTGGGGAGGTGGCAAAAAGACAAAACGTATTGAGAGCTACAAGGAATAGGGGGAAGTGGAGAGCCATGATCGCCTACATCTTGAGGGGACACGGCATATAAAAAAGAAAAGAAAAATAACATAAAAAATAACCAACAAAAAGGAAATAATAATATAAAATGTATTTACAGCAAGTCTTGAAACTATTTTCTGATTAATGAACCGGGAACAAATGAAAGTTTTAATAAACCACCACAATTTAGCAAACGACATTTTTACTAATATCAGAATCATTGGAAGTATTTTCACGGCAACTGCTCCGACGAGCTACTTTCGCTTGTTGCCAAACTGCATGACTTTAAGCGTGTTGGGATCTCGGGCCCACCCTTTCCCTGTTGATAACGATTAAATGTAGCCGTCTCTTCTACCACAACAGCTTCTTATCTCGCACTACCCGTCTGTGGAACTCCCTTCCTCTTACTTGCTTCCCTGATGGCTATAGTCTTCAAATATTCAAATGAAATGTCAATCGACATCTTCTGATGCCTTGATCTAGTTCCCCGTCCTTTTTCTTTATCCTTTCCTCAAACACGCCTCTTTACTCTTACTCTCCCTCTCTGTAACCCTTTGCGTGCTAGTCGTACCCCTGCCATGCTTGGGGTGAAATGCTCATATATATATATATATATATATATAATCTTTTAATCATTTCAGCTCAAGCAAGGTGACAAAGTCACTAACACGCGGGATGTTACTGAGCGTGAAAGATTATAAGAACATTCTTAAGAAGAGAGAACAATAAAAGAACAGAAATTAAAAAGGCAGAAGACAACGATTGACATTGCATTTAAATTTTTGAAGCTCAAACTTGACCTTGTCGCTTCAAGTTCCTTCTAGAGCCTATTGTATTGTCATTTTCCTTTCACTTTTTATCTTCATTATCTTTCAAATTAAATTAAATTAAATTGACGTAGGCGATTATGGCTTTTCCCAACTTCCTTATCTGTAATTTGTGTATTGTTATGTATGTTCTTGGTAAAGATAATGGAGCGTTTTCTTGTGGCCTCGACATGATTACGAATTCAGAATTAAGTTCCTCCTAGGCTGGTTGTCTTACGAAGGCTAATGAGCTCGGTCAACCATTCTATGTTACCCAAAAGTATTAGTGAGAAGGGAATGTAATAACCCTGGAATTTAAGCCCGACTTATCGATAATCCTTACAACATACACACACAAGCACACACACATACACACATAAGTAAAGATGGATCAATAAATCCGTCGCCCGATACAAATTTTAACTGAATTTTTTTATCTGAAATGTACACTGTAATTATGAAGAGGCGCTTGATTAAGTGCATTGACAAAGAAGGCGATTATGTTGAAAAATATTATGTAAAATATTTTTATCATTAGGCTACAGACATATTGATTTAGTTAATTTTAGTGAGTGGGGTCGCTATTATTATACAAAGTACTGTACAAAAGTTAAACCTCATTCGACCTGTTGAGGGCTTGGTCAGCACCGAAGCCTTAAACATACAAAATTTAACATTTACAAGCACCAATTCGAAAAAAAGATAAAACTTGGTTTAACCAAATCTAAAATAACATTTATTCAAAAACGACAGTATGTATTGACTGTGTGTCATTCGGTTGTGTACTGTATTAGTGTTCGATTAGTAAAAGTGGCTTTCAGAGTTGTGCACATGATGAAGAGTTCGAAATGTCTTTTCCTTATTTGCGAGATAGTAGAAAGAAACAGTACTTCATTGGTGTCGCTAGTATAGGGGGCTCCCAGTTCTTGACTTGGTTACCATGGCGATGTTGTGAATCAGTGAGTTCGATATTTGGCTGCGGTCGTTGAAGGAGTGGAAAAAGGGATGAGTAACTGCTTTCCTTCCATCTGCAGACATGAAGTTCAGTAGCTGACGGATTTCTCTTTCCTGAAATGAAAATTTCTGCGCTATTTATATGTTTACGAGAACTGTCGATGTCGTACGGTGCAGACGTAGTTGTAAGCTAAAATTCGCACCTACTTGTGATAAATGTCCGCAGCGAAGATTATGAGTGGAGGAAAAAACGTATTTTCGGACCAATCGTTTTTTTAGGTTCGCTAAAGGTTTTTGCGAATTGCCTACTTTCTGAATTTAAAAAAATACTAACACATTTTTGCTTTTAAATAAATATCTTTAGAGCGTTTGAATGATTTTATGTTATAACATAATGAGTCGAAGGGAAAATTAATACTGAAGATTGCCTTCTCGTCGTGTTCTCTGATCAGTGGGAGGCAAAATTGACCGACAAAAGAAAAAAAAAAGGAACACTATATATTTGTCGAGACCAGACCAGAGTATCCGAAGATATATATGAAATTGTCACGGACAGAAACAGAGCTTTATTGATGTTTTCTCTCCCTTTCTCGTTTTCCCTCTCTCCTTCCGCCTTCCCTCTCCCTTTCATATACGCCTTCTCTCCATTTATCGCATCCCCCTGTTCTTCCATCTTATCTCTCCCTTTCTCTGCTTTTCTCGTCCTCTTTCTTTTCTTTTTCATCTCTCCTCACTATATCTTTTTCTTCCCTTCTTCTCTTCCCCATTCTTTACCATCTCTTTATATTTCCCTCTATCACTTTTCTTCCTTCTCTCTTTCTCTTCTACCCTATCATTCTCTCTGACATTCTCTTCCGCTCCTTCTCTGATCTACTACCTTTTCGCCTATGTCTCTTTGTTTACCTTCCTCCCTCTCCCTCTTTCTTCTCATATCCTATTCCTTTACTTTCACTCCCCCACTCTCCATCTCTTTCTTCCCACTCACCCACCCCATCAATTTCACCACTCTCTTGTTTGTCACAAAGGCCTTTTCACTCATCACTCTCTCTTCGTTGACACAAGTAATTTATATTTTTCCTTCTAAAGATTTATCTAAGGATTTATTTTTAATTGGACATTTTAATTATTTCAAACGATACCCTAATTTGAAATGGACATCCCGTTTTTTTTTCAATTTTAGTTTAAACATTATGTATTTGGTCTATAGGCCTGCGCATTCCATAAAACTTAATAAAGAAAATATTTGCTCTCCGAGCAGGGTTCGAAACCAACGTTTGATCCGGTGCGTTTTAGACAACTCGGAAACAAAGAACATTATAACGGTTCTATTTACACATTTAAGGAAAGCATACACCTTCGTGACCGAGCGTTCTCAAGCAAGCCGGGTTATACTATGGTTTCTCTTACACTGTTTCAAATAATAATAAAAAAAATGGCCGTCTATTTCAAACATGGATATGCGCTCAAAATAACGTTTGAAGTAATAAAGATATTTCTCTGTATATCATGTTGATATTGTAATTCCAGCGAAGGAGGAATACGTGCTGCATCCATTGTTTCGTTTCCATTTTCCCCGGTTGTACCTGTCCCTTAAATAATAATTCCCTGAGAGAATCGATATTACTACAATCGGATTCTCTTTAACAGTGATCTATCCCTCTGACACTATAACGCAATATTCAGTAAAAGTATTCTTGGCTTAATACCATTTCATTTATAAACTTTGAAATTCACACACTCGTGAATTCAACTGGTAGACGAGATACAGTTAAATACCAAGCGTTTATATCATTCAAAATTCAAAGAAGGGCCTGCAATATAAACGATACTGACCTGGCAACTCGACTTCAGTCAATTTCTCACCAACGTGACGTTGCTTCCCTCTGCCTTTTCTACAAATATATGTATATTTCTATTACTAATGTTCACCCAATGCAAGGCGCAAGAGCCACTCAAAGTAGAGGGTTACTGTACGAAATTATATTACCATAGGAAAGAATAAGCGTTAAGAGTATAAAACTGAAGTAGACTTTAAAAGAAACCAGAAACCCAATCCTAAACAAGAAACAAGGGATAAACCTCTACTCCTGTTCAAAAGTACGATTTCACTTCCCGTGTCAATAACTGTTACACTACCCACACCTATGATTACAAAATAATGATCTTCAAATTAGGAAATTGAAAATTTGGCATTTTACGATTGAAGGCGAAGGTATTTTAGCCAAACGAATACACTTTTCCAACGTATAAGTAGTCAGTATCTGTCTATATTTCTGAGATGAGGTATTATGTACACTATTTACATGCCATGTTTAATGGATGTCAGTTATCAGTTATCTCCTGTTAATTCCCTCTCCAAGTTTTCCACTGCCTTAACCGGTTATTGAACTCACACTCTTTGGGTCCTGTCACTGGATCTAACTAACGCTTGAGGACACATGGCACAGTGGATAAAGGCATGTGGAACTAGAAAAGTCTTCTCCAGAGAGTGAAATAAAGGGTTCAGTTCGACATTCCAACCACCTGAAGTAGGCCGGAGCGTACAACGGCCGAAACGTTGTAATAAATATGGCGACAAAGATGAGGACAATAGTCCGAATAATGTAAATAGTATAAGTAGTCAGTTTCATATTTTATGCTTAACAATTGATTTTTTTGAAAAATTTTAAAAATATAATTTCCTATATATAATTACTTTAAGCACTATATTATAGTAGATACACGCGTTTGAATAGACGCCCTGGTTTTTTAAAAACCGTGTGAATTACAGGGAACGGCCTATATAATTATTAGAAAATTAACTTCAGTGTTGTATTTCTTTTCAAATGAAACAGTTCCTCGTTAATCTTATTTAATAATATAGATTCTTAAATAATTGAAGCTAATTTCGAAATAATTAATCAGAAGCTGAACTATGAGGTACGAACAGGTGGAAAACAGTGATTTATTCTCCAGGGCCGTAAAAGTCTGACGACAAGAAATATTACTCAGATCAAATTTTGAGCGCTGTATCAAATGAATACGCAATTTTGACTCGTATATACGATCTATAGCTAATGATTCCGGAAAAATGATCGGTGGATACCTGATTCCTGTTATCATTCTCTATCTTTACAAGTGTCAGAGATATTGCACCAAGATATCTTGGTCAAGAACAACACACCATTTGTTCGACAGGCTCTCTACTTTCCCGACAGTGCACCACATGACTTCTGGGCCTTCCCCAATCTGAAAACCACGCGATTTGCACGCGGAGTTACTTCTGATGCCCCGCCAGTACCTAGGGGGCGAATTTTGTTGATACTGTCCGCATCCAAAATTCCACCGTTAAAAGGTAATGAACTGATCCTGTGCTTATTCCCACTCCGGCTTTTGGATGGCCTGCTTGAGCGATCCCCGCTCTCCACTGAGATGTGATCATGTTTGAAGCAGTTGCATCACACCTTGATTTGAGTTTTGCACATGGTATCATCGCTAAAGGCCTGCTGAATCTTTGAACTTGAGTATCACCAAGCTTTTGGCAAAAGTTCGATGAGTTCGTGATAAGGAAATCCCGACGAGCGCGTGCCACACGTCTATGCTCTAGGCGTAACAACCGGGAACTGACGCGGCCTGCTGGCGCAAAGATTTTCAAGTATTCGCAGGAAGGGTGGCGCCACCTCCCATCCAAAGGATTTTGTCCACGTGGCATTAGTTTTGGCGGGAAAAAATAAAGACGGATACTTTTTGAATGCACTTCGTATTTATAAGATTTGCAGAATAAATTAACTGTTAATGTTTGCCTGTTGGCGGGACACAAGACAAAATACCCACATCGCCAAAACCCATCCACCCTACACAAACACCACCACACACCAACACGCAGAACACAGACCAACCCATCCACCCACACCAAAACGATAAGATTTGAAGAATAAATTAAATGGAAATATTTTCCTGTTTTGCGGCGCGCACGCGCGCACACACACACACACACGTATGTATGTATGAGAGGTAGACATTATAATACAGGGTGGTCCAAAAGTATTCTTACAGTTATTTCACTATTTGTTTCACGTTTTACATTTAATTTATTCAAATCATGACTGACCTTTCAGTAAGATGGAGCATTTCCCCATCATGCTTTGGCAGTAAGGGACTACTTTAACCAAACTTTTCCACAGTGTTGGTTCGGAAGAAGAGGCAGCATCGAATGGCCACCACATTCACCTGATCTAACACCAATGGATTTCTTTTTTTTGGGGGGTAGTAAAGGACACAGTTTATGAGAGAAATTCACACACAGTGGACGAATTCAAAGAGTACACCTCAGAAGTATTTATTGAAATAGATGCAGATCCGGATTTGTGTCATAGCGTTATGAGGAGGTTCGAAGAATGTTACAATGTTGAAGGAAGACATTTTGAGCACTTAAAAGATTAAACTCTGCTTAAAAATGTAAGTGTTAAACACATGTGTATAAGCAGTTTTAAACAAACATGATTGTAACAAATAAATATAAAAGTAATAAAATGTTTTTTAAAAAATGTAAAGTGCGTACCTATTAAGTGTAAGCCTACTTTTGGCCCACACTGTATGCTAGGCCCCTTAAAATAGCAAAACAACTGTAAGCCTATTTTTAGCCCACTCTGTAATTTCAGTGCATGTGAAATTCGGCAGGAGGAGAATTTCACATGCACTGAAATTACAAGACTTCACCGTTTATCCTCTCGGCCTTCAAAGTGCATTTATAGAATCGGTTGAGCTTAAACCATAGCATTAAAATACAGAGTGGGCTAAATTGTTTTGCTATTTATTTCACGTTTCTTTGGCAGTAATGGACTACCTTAACCAAACCTTTCTACAGTGTTTTTTTCGGGAGAAGGGGCAAAATCAAATGGCCACCACATTCACCTGACTTAACACCAACAGATTTCTGTTTTTGGGTGTAATAAAGAACAAAAGTAATAAAGAACACAGTGGACGAATTAAAAGCGTACATGACAGAAGTATTTATTGAAATTGATGCAGATAGAGATTTGTGTCGTGCTGTGTATCAGTGTTCTGGGAAGGTTCGATGAATGTTGCAATGGTGAAGGAGGACCTTTTGAGCACTTAAGATATTAAACTGTGCTTAAAAAATGTAAGTGTTAAAAAAATGTAAGTATTGAATAAACATGTTTGTAATAAATAAATATAAACGTAATAAAATTTAAAAAAAAATGTAAAATGCATATCTACTAAGTGTAAGCCTACCTTTTGGCCCACCCTGTAGATTAGAAATATCTAGTTAACTTTCACTAGTATTGTATTTCATTTTTAGCCCCTGTTGACATGCAACATACGTTTGCGCCACAGTTCGAAACGCATAGACATTTTTAAAACTCCCTTTTGCCATCTTCTGAGTCCTTCTTTTGTTACTTGTGCATACGAAATGAGAATCTCAAGAATTAAATTATCGGCTTTAAATTCTATCCCACATATATCTCGTTTCCTTTGTTCGTATTCGGAGCAAATGTCAACGGCTGCGGTACCTCAAACGCACGTAGCTCAGTGTTAAAGGATCCTGTTACCAGCTTTTGCGTTCTCTCCAAGGCCAGCAAATTGTGACGTGTTACCATGAATGGTCCAATCAGAAACGAATCCTGAACTTTCTATCTTCTCCCCCCGCCACCACACAATCGGGAATAAACAACCTCATAAAATCCTGGCGACAACAGTTACGCTTTAGCTGGCGCATAAATGTCATTGGTAACGCGTATCCATCCGGTAACTTCACGCAGTGCTATTTTTTTTTTATTTGGAGATTGTGAAGCACTTGCAAACGAACTGTAAATTGAAAAAAAGGAGACAGTAGTAGTCGGTATCCATATCTCTTGCGAGTGGCTTAACAGACTAATCCTTGCATAACACTCTCTTGCGCAGGTGTGACAGATGAAGATGGAATGTGGAATGGCGGTCTGATATATCTCTCTCTGCTTCCTTCGTTAGTTTCGCCTTTTCCTGGTTTTCGTGACTCTTCCGTGAACAGCATGGTGCCAGCCGCTCCGATCGTATGCTAGCTGTTCCCAGCTACCAGAGTCGATGCCCGTGCGTTTCACGTCC